CACCGTATCATGTCGCAAAAAAAACCGTCTTCACATACAAAAATAAAAGTAATAAGGTAAGTGAAAAAAGGCAATCTAGCAGTTTGTATTTTTATTTCAACCCCGTAAAAGTTTTAAAAGTTTCAGCTTATTTAATTCTTACTCCTGAAAGATAAGTTCTGATTTCTTACCTGGGGAAATCGGGGCACTTTTTTCATATTATTCCAACATTGGGGTAAGTTACTTTTAGTTTTGAGCCCCCGATCGGTTGCTAAGACTAAAATACAATGATGAAGACGAAATACAAAAGGAACGATCCCCAAAAGATAGATATAATAACAAAATGGAATCGTTCAAACATCGATTTCATTCTTTTTAGCATGAGAATAACGATTGAAAACGAGATGAGATTAACTAATCGGTATTTGTATACGTTTGTTTCGTCAATCTTAAACCATAAATACTCGAAAAACCTGCAATCCAATTTAACATTCATTAAAGTTAACAAGATTAATAGGGTTGAAACACCATTAAACCGGTCACCAATCTTTAACTCGACCGCGCCCAACGTTGCTTGACTTCCGAAATCGTTACAACCTACTCACCAGCCCTTTGACGTGCCCGGATCCAGGCAGGTACATTTAATATTTATGAATTCATCCAGAAATCGAAGTTTCTCAAATCTTGACAATAGCAAAGTTGTACGGAAAGTTAATTCTCGTCAGAATAGAGTTTGATACAGAGGGTTTATTCAACTTGACTTTAAGTAGAATAAAAGATATAGCATTTTTATCATCACCTAAAGGGTATGGACTTTCTGCATACATAAGGCGCTAAGGGCATAGTTTACCTGGGTAGTCTCACTCTCCCAGATAATATCGCCCATGAGACACTGCACTATCAATAGACAGATACAGAATTGGGAGATGAATTGAAACATAGCGGCGATCACAGAATAAGAGCAGATAGTATAATGACCAGCTATAGATCTACGAGTAGGTACAGCCGATAGCATATCAGTCAGGTTTTTCTATACAGGGTGTTAGGTAAATGGGTATAGTATACCCAATACATTTTTGTAACAAAATAACGCCTATTACAAGTAGTTAGATAAGATGCTATAGTATTTATCTTGGGGTGCCGTCACGCTTGTACTAAGCAACTTCAGAGAATGTGCCTACTGACTATTACCTCCCTTACGACTGTCAAGCCGAGCGACGTTTTTGCCTGCCTCCCGAACTTTTGATGCGAATTATTAAATTATATTCATTTTCGCGAGAAATATGTGGCGTTGTCACTTTTAATTTGTTTCGCGCGAAGCAAAAGGTATTCCTCGTTGTACCGCTACTTCTAAGTGGGAATATTTTAAGCCGTGTTTTGTCTTGGAGAGATTAAAAAGATATTTCGAAATGACATAATGAGATTCAGGTTGAAATATTGTTTGCAATAGAGCGGAGTGCGTAAAACGCTGGATTTTTGTGTTTAAATTCCAATGATACTTGTGACTCCGAAGAAAGTTTCCGATCTTATGTGATCTTCTACACAGTTTGCCAATTTTTTTCAGTCTGATGATCACGCGTCTATGGTTCGTGGTTTTTGAGAGCTTTTTCCGATCCTAGTGTGAAATAACATTTGTGTGGATGTTTTTCAGGCAACGATATTCTTTTTGTGATTAAAGATTGCACTTGTACGACAATTCCATGACAGGTATCAATGGCAGCATTGTTATCGAAAAAATAAAACAATATAACAAAAGGCAAGTTTTTTAGAACCAGTAGTATCGTAAGTAAAAGCGAAAAAAATACTAAATACAAATATAAAATGTACGCTCCCACATAGACTTCAAAACTTGTGCATTATATGTGTGCAACACACAATCCTAAAGTAATTGATTTATATTGAAACTTCGCCAAATTACCAACTCATCTATTATTCTTTAAAAACTGAGTGAAAGTTTTTATTACTTTGCTGAAATAGTATAAAAGAGTTAGGGCCAGGCCACACCAATAGCTAATAAAAGCTTATATTCAGGATGTTGAACTACACATTTGTGTTGCAAAAAATAACACCATAAACTACTACATTAAAGATGTCAGATGTCACCTAATTGCCTACATGTACTGGCCGACTCTAGATCCGAGGAACGCGGGTTCGAATCCCACCGCCGCTCGACTATTGTGGTGAGCCCACTCGTAATACAAGCTTATTTAGCTTACCACGAGGGGCTAACGGGACTAAGTAATTCGTACCAATACTAAATAATCTTTAAAAAAAAAATTTCGTTTCGCCTTGCCGTAAAATCAAACATGTTAAACGCCAGCAGCTATTTCATTAGCCATTTACCTATCGATAACTGCTTTTAATTATTAAAATAGGCGCTTGTATAGGCGCGAATACTTCACGAACAAGTGTTCGTGCCTACCACTAAAATACGAAAATATTAGCGCGCATGTACCCCCGTTAGCCAAAAAACAAAACACGTCTATAAAACCTTGCCTTGAAGAGTTCTAAATTTAAAATGTAGGTTACAGGACTCGTGAATTTGCAGTGCAGCCGCAGCCTTAGGTTTCATAATAAATGCATTGTCTGCAGCGAGAAAAATGCTGCGGAGAAAATGTGATTAGCATTGTTTCTACGTCGAGCGCTTTCCGCGGCTGCTTAGAAGCGCTTTTTATTTGCTGCACAATTGCCTATTATGGGATTTCATTGTATGCTTATGAGCTTTATGTTTTTGATAAAGGAATTAGCTACCTAGAACAATTAAAAAATCCAGTTGAACTTTCTTTACACTTGACGACGGCCTGCGAGTTTGCCCGGACTAAGAAGCCAGTTGGGTTGGTAAGTTTTAATTCAACGGCTATAAATATGTATGTAATGGTTAGGTACCAGTGTCTACTCGTGACAGTTCCTCTGTGGTTGAGGATTCCGGGTGAAGCTCGCTTCCACCTTCGGCCTGATCATCACTTACCATCAGGTGAGATACAAGCCAAGAGCTTCCTCGTTGTGGATAAAAAAATGATATAATTTGTGACATGCTTTTGCAAAAAACTGAAATTCACCTAATTAGAGGCATGAAAAGTCGCCATTCCAGCCCAGATACCACCAGCATAGAAACTGTTTTAATACCACTTAAAATGTGTTGTTTCAAACTTAACACTTTTATCTTGTGCGATAAGTATAAAGAAAGAGAAAGATTATGTAGGTACCTATCTTCAACCTAACCGCCTCTACAACTATGATATGTCGGAAAACAAAGTCAGCTTAACTCCTAATCCTACTACCACAACCTTTAAAAGATTACTGATGGTCCCAGAGTGATGCGGTCATAACGAGTTGATTACGCGGCGCCATTTATCAACGAGGCGGGGAAGGATTTCTGCTCGGCCATTAGTTATGTCATTCGCTGCTGCTGTTAACCTACTTATTGTGATAACAGTGCCACTAAGATTAGCTAGTGCAAAACTAGGCAGAGCCTGTTTCGTGGTAACTAACTTTATGCAAAAAAGTCAGCCGGCATAGAGTCAGTAAATAAAAAGGCTTACATACTTAATTAAGTAAAAAAGTTTACCTAACTTACAGTCCATAACAAGCTATTTTACTCGGCATGAGCTAAAACCTCTTTATATTATGCCGTATTATTAAAACATCAAAGATTTATAACTTATAAATCTTATAAATCTTTGATGTTTTAATAATACGGCATAATATTCATATTATATATATTCATATTACTTATAAATTATAAGTAATATGAAGTTAAATCATAAATCCCACCAAACGATTTCAGCTTTCTAACCTTTGCTCGCAATATTCTAGGTTCTACTCTAATCTAATACGTGATTTCCGCAGCCCTACAGCCGCAGCGAAAAGTAAGCACCAAAATATAAACACATTTTCATTGTAGATCTTAACGCAACGCACTAAGGTTCCAAGTTTCACTGTTGTTTCGCAAGCAGGCCCGCGTATACGCACGAACGCACGCGAAGATGGGCCTATACGCGGCCCGAATATGGCAATGATTTATTCAACAAAAATGTTATTTATGATAAAGTTCGCAAAGTCTGGAATTGAATTAGAAACTAGAAGTCTCCCGAGACGTGGTCGCACTCAGTTGAAGTGGTAGAAAGTCTGTACTCGTAGATACCTAGCCTAGATATAATTATGTACCTAGTTCAATTCATACAAAATAGGAGAAAATAAAGAATTCTATAATAAAATGACTTACCCCACCAGAAGAGCTGCACGCCTCACCCGCTCTCCAGCAAACCGCTACTTTTCTGCATCTGAAACAAACAATTTAAATTAAAGTATGCATTAAGAGAAAAAATTGCTTAGGTGATGAAACATTAAATGACAAAGTTAGTCACTTCATGTAAGAATTGAATTCAGTATCATAGGATCAAGAGAGTTCAAATGGAAAGTTATGTACAACCTACTTCAGTGTTTGATAATGTTAATGATTTGAACTAAATAAGTCGTAAGTATAAAAATAGTATGGGCAAACGTTCTGAAAATTTGACTGTGTCCTACCATATTTTACTGAACAATGTAAATAAACTACTAATACATCTCATCATTATTATAGACTAGCGGCCGCCCGCGACTTCGTACGCGTGAATTCCTTTTTTCCCGCTAATTCCCGTTCCCGTGGGAAATTCGGAAATTCCTTTCTTAGTGCACCTCTACGGTACCTAAGCTACGTCCCTTCCAAATTTCAAGTGCCTACGTTTAGCCGTTTAGGCTGTGCGTTGATCTGTCAGTCAGTCAGTCAGTTTCTCCTTTTATATATTTAGATTTGCAATAAATTAATTATCAAGTATTGAGTTTAACTCGTATTATTGATTGAATATACCTAAATATAGCAGTTTAATTTATGCATTTGAGGTCAAGTTGTGATCCCCTTATCTTTATATTTTTACAGTTAGCCATTCACTATTCGCCAAGCCACGGCCATAGTCGCTGTTTATCAATACTTCTTTGACGATAAACTATCTCCAGGTCAATTTACATAACCGTTTCCAACAGTCAACAGTTAAATATCTCAGTTGTTTACCAGCTGTTAAGCAGTTCAGACATGACGAAGAAAGTGGCAGTGGTGACCGGCTCCAACAAGGGCATAGGGTTTGCCATCGTCAAGGGTTTACTGCAGCGCTTCGATGGCGTGGTCTACCTGACCTCTCGGGATAGTGGCCGAGGGAAAGCAGCTGTCGGTGAACTCAATAAGCTGGGACTGAATCCTGCTTTCCACCAACTTGACGTATCTGATCGAGAGAGTGTCCTCAGATTCCGAGACCACATCCAGGAAACTTGCGGAGGCATCGACATCCTGGTCAACAATGCCGCAGTCGCCAACAGCGTGAAACTTTACAACACGTACGAGGAAGACAAAGAAATTATCGACATCAACTACTACAGCATTTTGACTATCCAAGAACTACTATTCCCTTTGGTGAGGGATAACGGAAGAATATTAAACATATCGAGTGACTGCGGACATCTTTCCAACGTTAGAAACAAGCATTGGCTCGAAAGACTGTCGAAGAAAGATTTCACTCAAAATGATGTTTTGGAATTTGTGAATTGGTATTTGGAGGCGGCCAAGAATGGTACGTTTAAGAAAGAAGACTTGGCGGACGATGCCACTGTCGGGGCTTACAGAGTAGCCAAGGTAGCGTTGAGCGCTCAGACTATTCTTCAGCAAAGACATTTAGCATCACGGAACATCTCAGTGAACTCGATGCACCCAGGCCTCGTCCGCACTTCCATGACCAAAGGAGTAGGGTTCTTCAGCACCGACGAAGCGGCTAAAACTCCTCTGTACTTAATTCTGGAAGCTCCTCAAGACCTCAAGGGCACCTATGTGTGGTACGACGGGCGAGTCCTGGACTGGTTCGACTACAATGCCGATTATTATTTCAAGTCAAAGACTCTAACTTCATAAATATTAAATTGTAAATAAATATTTATTAAATAATTTTGTATTTATATTTACCTGTTTTCTATCATAACATAACAAAGGTACAATAAAGAAAATAAAAGTTTGTAAAAACAACATAATATTGCATTATACATAAAAGAACAAAAGAGTACACAAGTAGGTACACCAAAAAATATTCAGTATCGCCAGTCACGAAAAAAACACTAATTAAAAAGTCACTAGCGAAGATGACATTGACTTTTGTACGCTACGTAACCTGAGTGTTTATTCGTCAACTGTGTTAATATTATCAGCGACTGATACTAAAAATTACGTAAACATAAATATTTATCAAGCTGACGCACATCACACATGTAATCATTTACCGGCCAGTTGTGTACATATTTTGTGTCTGCACAGACATGTCCGAGAAAAAAATAGCGGTTGTGACCGGCTCGAATAAAGGAATCGGATTCGCTATCGTTCAAGGTCTATGTCAACGATTCGATGGCCTCGTCTACCTGACGTCACGAAACGAAGAGTTGGGGAAGGCTGCCGCTGCCAAGCTTAAACAACTGGACAACCCACCTCACTATCATCAACTTGATGTTTCTGACAAGGAGTCAATGCTCAAGTTCAGAGATTACATCGAGGACAAACATGGAGGTATTGACATTTTAATAAATAACGCCGGTGTCAGCGGAGCGCTCCAAACTTCATACGAGGATTGCAAAAGGGTAATCGACATTAACTTTGGTGGCATAGTAAATGCACAAGAATACCTCTTCCCTTTGTTAAGAGATAACGCCAGAGTTTTGAATATATCTAGCGACTGTGGTCATCTTTCAAACTTGAAGAATATGGAGTGGATTAAAAGACTGAGCAAGAATGATTTGTCGAAGAGTGATATTGATGAGTTCGTGAACTGGTATTTGGAATCTATGAAAACGGGTACTTTTAAAAAGGATGATTTCGTTGACGGTGGGTTGATTGCTGCGTACAGAGTGGCTAAGATAGGTGTTTGTGCTTTGACGATGATACAGCAGAGGGAGCTCGAGCCACGGGGGATATCAGTCAACTCCATGCATCCTGGTCTAGTGAGCACCAGCATGACAATGGGCATAGGATTTTTAACGCCCGATCAAGCGGCAGAAACTCCATTAGATCTGGTTCTGGATGCACCTGCGAGTCTGCGAGGGAAGTACGTGTGGTACAACGGAGAAGTCGTGGACTGGTTCGACTACAAAACTGACAAGTACTACTTCAGGTCTGCGTCACTTGGCAAACAGTTATTGAAGAATTTAACGCGGCTGCCAGCGGACGTGTTATGTTCGCCTTCAACGTGGGTGGGAGTGCTAGCAATGGTCCTAATCGTAGTGATAACCAAAATTTTCCAATAAAGACAATTAATTTATAATTCATATGTCGCAGGCAAATTGTATGATTCCGCATTTTACAAACGGCGTCGTCAGTTTACAAACGCTCGCTGTTCTGTGAAATGCCGAAGGCAAATTGGCGACTCGTTCAATTGATAAAATTTCGACTATGATTGTTGCAATAGGGTGACCATCATAAAACACATGTAGGATAAATCGGACCTTATATCAGTAATTCAAATTCTATTCAAATAGACAATATCGATCTTTAATTTGGTACTGAGTTTTGTCTCGACTACCATGTCCACTGTCCCTATGAATATCTAACAATATTTATTTATTTGGTCACCAACAAGGTTACACTTTAGCGTTCACATATCATAATAGTCTTCCATAGGTATGTTTTCCGTTGGGCTCTCAGGGCTGTCTTTTTTCAGAATAAGATAGTCCACATCGCCAATACTCATACATCATATTTTTTATACCATATAATATTCCGCAGCAGTCCTCCGAGCACCAGATCCCATTGTCACCTTAGCGTTTTTTTATATGCCTGATAACCTCAAAAACTTTTTCATTTGTCCACGGCTTTTTCACTGCTCCTATTTTTGAATCGTAAAATAAATGTCTTTAAAACAATAGTTTTTTGTGAAAAGTCCTTTGAATACGTAGAATTTGCACTGTTTTCAATATTTTTCTGTATCACAACACCACTACTCGACGCCATTTTTCTTGTTTTGATTGGCAGCGCCTCGCGTGGTAAGAAAAAGAACTAAATTCTTCAATTTGCCGCGGCATTTTGTAAACGGCGATTGAATTGGCTATCAAATTTTGTGGCATATTATAAAGTGCCAAGGCAATTTACATTTTGCCTTCGGCATTTCATAGAACAGCGAGCGTTTGTGAACTGACGACGCCGTTTGTAAAATGCGGAATCATACAATTTGCCTGCGACACATACACAATGATTCGCTTTCTCGTGGGTGTATTTTTATTGTTGTTATTCTTATGACCTTTGAATGATAAAATTGTATTAAAAAGTCAAAAATACGAGTAATTTGTTAGATATGTTAAGTGTAATATACAATTAATTAAAGTTCTTAAACGCCTTTGTTTTTATTTCATTTTCTATAACAGCTCTACCAAAACCTGTTTATGGTGCTCGTTGCTAATCAAACAACCATTGCTACGTCATAATGCTGCTTAAGGAAAACTTTTGATTTATTCAACCAAGTACGAGTTACTAATACAGCAGGTTCCACACATTATTTAGTGCAAAATATTATGGTTTTATTTGACCACTCATTAAAATCTGTCAAACTTCATACAAAAACACCGGTTATCATTACATATAGTTTCGATCAAAGTTTGGTGGTGCAACTTAGCCTTAGACTTGGGTCATATTAAGTCAGACCAGCAGTTTTACCAAAACGGCACGTTTGTAAAATAGCTTTCCTAAAGAAACCTTGGGTTTACGACTGTCGAGTGTGAGACGCAAATCGTTTATCTGTTCCGGCTATTGTAAATGACGAAACGACTAAAACTCCTTTGTACTTAATCTGTACTAATATTATAAAGCTGAAAAGTGTTTGTTTGTTTGTTTACTTTAACGCACTAATCTCCGGAACTACTGGACAGATTTGAAAAATTCTTTCAATGTTAGATAGCCCATTTATCGAGGAAGGCTATAAGCTATACAACATCACGCTACAATAAATAGGAGCAGAGCAATAATGAAAAATGTTGCGAAAACGGGTTTTCACGCGTTCGAAGTCGCGGGCACAGCTAGTAAAACCTATGTGTGGTACGACGGGCGAGTCCTAGACTGGTTTGACTATAAAACCGATTAATTTATTTCATGTCAAAAACTCTGAATTCATGAATTTGTAAGTATTTATTAACCAAATAATAGCTTCTTTTTATTACGCCTAACATTTTTTCTCCTAAACATAATTTCCCAAATGTGACATTATGCGGAACGTTTATAATGCACAAGTTGAAACGCACGAAATTATAACGCCTAATCATTTTTATACGGCAAAATAAATTGATACATAAAGCATTATTATTCCTAAAATATCCGAGACTGTTATTCAGCATCAGGACTAGTGAAACACTTATGGCCAATGCAGTTCAGCCAAACGAAAGTAGGACTAAAAATTATAGGCGTACTGAAATGCACCTGTTTTATTTACAATAACTTTTTTTAATATTATAAAAATCTCGTGTCACGACATAATTAAGTTCGGAATAAACTCTGAAACTACAGAACTGATTTGACCCAACTTTAAAGATCTTATTACTGTGCCACCCAAGCGAACCCGTCATGACTGAAATTCAAACGGGCGAAGCCACTGGCAGAAACTAGTAGAGAATATGAAGACACAAAAAAACAACATTAATATTTATTATCAGTTAAAGGAACAAAAAACTTATACAAATACATAAAAAAATATTCAAAAATATCACCCAGTCGAAAAAAAGCAGTAAAAAAAGTCAGTAGCGAAGATAACATTGAAATCAGCAGTGATAATTTATTATCAGCAAAAAATATGCCAGTTGTGTACATATTTTGTGTCGGTGCAGTCATGTCCGAGAAAAAAATAGCGATTGTGACCGGCTCGAATAAGGGAATCGGATTCGCTATCGTTCAAGGTCTATGTCAACGATTCGATGGCCTCGTCTACCTGACGTCACGAAACGAAGAGTTGGGGAAGGCTGCCGCTGCCAAGCTTAAACAACTGGACAACCCGCCTCACTATCATCAACTTGATGTTTCTGACAAGGAGTCAATGATTAAGTTCAGAGATTACATCAAGGACAAACATGGGGGTATTGACATCTTAATAAATAACGCCGGTATCGGCGAAGCGCTCCAAACTTCGTATGAGGGTTGCAAAAATATAATCGACATCAATTTTGGGGGCATAGTAAATGCACAAGAATACCTCTTCCCTTTGTTAAGAGATAACGCCCGAGTTTTGAATATATCTAGCTCCTGTGGTCATCTTTCAAACCTGAAGAATATGGAGTGGATTAAAAGACTGAGCAAGAATGATTTGTCGAAGAGTGATATTGACGAGTTCGTGAACTGGTATTTAGAGTCTGTGAAGACGGGTACTTTTAAAAAGGATGATTTCGTTGACGGTGGGTTAGTTGCTACGTACAGGGTGGCTAAGATAGGTGTATGTGCGTTGACGATGATACAGCAGAGGGAGCTCGAGCCTCGGGGGATATCAGTCAACTCCATGCATCCTGGTCTAGTGAGCACCAGCATGACAATGGGCATAGGATTTTTAACGCCCGATCAAGCGGCAGAAACTCCAATACACCTGGTACTAGACGCACCTGCGAGTCTGCGAGGGAAGTACGTGTGGTACAACGGAGAAGTCGTGGACTGGTTCGACTACAAAACTGACAAGTACTACTTCAGGTCTGCGTCACTTGGCAAACAGTTAATGAAGAATTTAACGCGGCTGCCAGCGGACGTGTTATGTTCGCCTTCAACGTGGGTGGGAGTGCTAGCAATGGTCCTAATCGCAGTGATAACCAAAATTTTCCAATAAAGACAATTAATTTCTAATTATTATTCATACACAATGATTCGCTTTCTCGTGGGTGTATTTTTATTGTTGTTATTCTTATGACCTTTGAATGATAAAATAGTATTAAAAAGTCAAAAATACGAGTAATTAGTTAGGTACGTTAAGTTTAATATACAATTAATTAAAGTTCTTGAACGCCTTTGCTTTTATTTCATTTCCTATAACGGCTCTACCAAAACCTGTTTATGGTGCTCATTGCTAAGCAAACGAACATTGCTACGTCATAATGCTACTTAAGGAAAACTTTTGATTTATTCAACCAAGTACGAGTTACTAATACAGTAAGTTCCACACAGTAGTTGGTTCTAAAATGATTCCTAGAGGTCAGTGCTGTACCAAAGTATTATGTTTTTTTTTATTATTTTTGAGCTTGGATTTGGACCAGTCACTACCCCGTTACTGTTAACGAGACATATGAAAAGTCTTCCATAAAATCAATAAATAAAACATGATGTTTCAAACCTTAAAAGCTTTTTGTCCACACACACTTAGAAGTAAAAATGCCATTAGCCTAAACTACGGCCTACGGAATCAGTTACATGTTAGTCGAGTTAGCAGAAGTTAGCCGGAGATGGCATTAGGATCCATTACCCTGGACCCCGCTAACGAGGTAATCTGGTTACTCCGAGAGAGCATTGTTTGTCAAGGTTGCCATGAACTAAGGCTGGGTTGCACCATCTTACGTGTCAAGATTTAAGTTCGGGATAAACTCTGAAACTACTGAACATATTTGACCCAACTTTAAAGATCTTATTACTGTGTCCAACCAAAGCGAATTTGTGAACGAAATTCACGCGGGCAATGCCGCTGGCAAAAACTAGTAGAGAATATGAAGACATACAAAAAAAACGACAGTAATATACAGTGTGTCCGGGCATATAGTGATCAAACTTTAACCCATTTAGACCGATAATTATTTTAGTAAATAAAAAGTGATTTTTCAGTAACAACTTACAAAAGGAAGCATAAAAATCATGAAAAAAATATTTAAAAAAATAATCCATTAAAAGGGGGCCGTAGGGAGCCCGTACCATATAGGGTACAGTAGGTCTATATGCATGCAAAATATAGTAGTTGTTCAAAGAAAGTTTAATTTATTTTTGTATGATATAAAATTAAAATAAAATCGCACAATCACCAGTATTACTCTTGGCATAGCTTGTAAGACGTTTTATGTGACACTAACCACATTTGGTTCGTTTTTCCTACATTTACCAAACTTAGTGAGGATAGCGGAAGAAAACCGGGCTTCTTCTGACTTGTTATGTTTATTGCTATCAATAACCGCATTTAACAAAACGACGACGGAAATTTAGCAAATCCATCGAAGAAAACTCTGAGGATAATTATTTACATTGACACTATCTTTATCGCCTCAATCTTCGTCAGTTTGATCACCATTAGCAGCCATCTGATAAGAAAGTAGTAAAAAAATACCAAAATTGCTTTGTACGCTGAAATTATCAAAATTTTCAAGAATTGTGGCAATATAGTGAAGCATCAATAGCCTAAAACAATGAAAAATAATAAAAAATAAATTATATTTTTGCGCATTATTTTGCTTATGCATAGACCTACTGTACCTTATAGGGTACACCTATTTTAGACTAGAAAAAACTGTATAAAAGTAATCTCAATAATATTTTTCTTGTAGTCATGTCATCTATTGTACTCTATTTTTGAAATAAAATTGATAAATAATATAATTTACCATGAATAATAAGAAATATGCCTTCTTGAATACATGGTAAATATTTTTTTTGTTTTCTGTCGAGGAATTTGAAAAATATTTCCGAAACCACCTGTTAAAACGTATTTTTAAATATTTTTATGTAAAATAATCACTTTAAGCTTACTGTTACAATCATTTTTACAAAATAACAACAGTTTGGTACTTCAAAATATTTTCAATAATATACCGTACCACATAGGGTACGGTAGGTCTAAATGGGTTAAGAGCGTAATCTATGGACAATTTCATCGATGAAAATACTTCAAATTTGGGGCCTGACCCATTTCTCGAAAAATTACATCGATTTAAGTTTTTAATTTTTAGTTTACACCTCTTCTTTAACAAACAAGTGAAAGCGTGGGTAGTTCAACATTAATAAGCAAAAATTTTATATCATGCGATAGCCAATAAAATTATCTATTAGTAGAAGTAGAAAACAGATAAAAGTTTTTAAATTTTAAGGGTGTAAGCATGGATTTAATTACAAATAAACATGATTTTTTTCACATCTTTTTCAGTTATTTCCCAACACAAGAAAAACCAGGTATTAGTTTCGACGTAAATCTACGTCTATTAGTTTCGACGTAATTGTTGAACAAAGATACCCCTTCCCAGCGGTTTCCATAGCGCACGCGACATGCGAAAATGCACTGCCTGAAAGAATCACACAACCTGTTCCGATTACTATGGAAACCGCTGCGCGCTGGGAAGGAGTATCTTTGTTCAACAATTACGTCGAAACTAATAGACGTAGACTAATAAATTTACTTTCGTTTCGTAGAATAGCTCA